AGGAGTAGCCGGAATTACAGGCATGCGCTACCACGCCCGGCTGATTTTTTGATTTATTGTAGAGATGAGGTCTTGCTGCCCAGGCGGGTCTTGAACCCGCGGGCTCAGGCAATCCACTCACCTCAGCCTCCCAAAGGCGCAGGGTTACAGGCTGAGCCACCGAGCCCGTCTGGTGTGCAATTTTTAAAACTATGCACTCTGTATTTAGACAACAAATATAAGAACTGGTAATAACAGAAATGTTTATTATTTGTATTATTTATTATTTTATTTTTTATTATTTCAGTAGTGACATCTAAAACATCAATTCTATTTAGAATATTTTTCTGGGAAATCAAAATCACTTTTTTTCGAATTGGGGTCTCACTCTGTCACTCAAGCTGGAGTACAGTGGCACCATCATGGCTCACCACAGCTCCGCAATCCTTCCATCTCAGCCTTCTGAGTAGCTGGGACTACCAACTTGCACCACCACACCCAGCTAATTTTTGGAATTTTTTTTGTCCAGATGAGGTCTCACTATGTTGCCCAGGCTGGTCTTGAACTCCTGGACTCAAGCTATCCTCTTGCCTTGGGCTCCCAGAGGGCTGGGATTACAGGTGTGAGCTCCCGTGTATGGACTTAAAAAAAAAAAAAAACTTAAAATTAATTTTTAGAGACAGGCTCGGTGACTCAGCCTGTAATCCCGCGCCTTTGGGAGGCTGAGGTGAGTGGATTGCTGAGACTGCGGGTTCGAGACCCGCCTAGGCAACTTGGCGAGACCTCATCTCTACAATAAATCAAAAATTAGCCGGGCGTGGTAGCGTGCGCCTTGTAGTTCCAGCTACTTGGAAGGCTGAGGCGGAAGGATCGCCGGAGCCCAGCAGGCCGAGGCTGCGGTGGCTGGGAGTGGCCACTGTACTCCAGTCTGGGCGACAGAGTGAGACTTCAACTCAAAAAAAAAAAAAATTAATTTTTAGGCTTGTAGTCCCAGTTACTGGAGATGGTGAACCTGGACAGGAACACTGAGAACACAGCCTCAGGGCCTTGTGGGCCTTGCCAGAAAGCTCTGCATTCTATCCTGACAGCATAAGGGCAGTGAGAAGCACCGGAGGGGCGTTGGTAGAGATCAGATCAGCACCAGGCCTAAGCAAGAGGGACACCTTTGGATGGCTTAAACAGAGTAAAAGAATCTGCTGTGTTTAGAAGGATCCCTCTGACTGCAGCGTAAGTGAATAGACTGCAAGGTGGGGCAAGGTGGAGGCAAGGAAGCCAGATAGGAGGCCCCGGCAGTACAGGTAGGAGATGACAGTGGCTTAGATGAGGGTGGGAGTAGTAGTAAGACCCTGTCATATTCTGGATACACAAGAAGGGACCCCCCAAAAACAATTATCTTTTGGAGGGTGGACTCCTTGTAGTATAGGCTTTCCCAGCTAGGTAAGTATGCGAGGAACCCATTGGCATCAGTGTTCCAGCTAGCGTTGTTGGGAGAGGCTGCGTTTGGCTTCAGTGGTGGTTTTTTTCTTTTAAGATTCTTTCAACTAGTTTCCCCATTTTATCATGAGTGACTTGCAAGCATATCTGCCCATACCTCGCTGACTGTTCAGTTTTGGGGTTTGGGTGGGCGGGGGGGGGGTGT